GGACCTAGGCTTCCCAAGGAGCTTTATGTTGAGAATTTCTTAGAAAATTTGTTTAGATAGCAATGTCATTCATAATTCAATAAACTTATTTCAATTAATATAAATCTAACATCTCCTGAAAATATTATGTATTTGGTAGAGAATAATCGAGCCACAACATTCTAAATACAGTTCTGTTAGTGAAAAGTCTATAAGGAGCAAAGGCGGCCTTTTGACAAATGAAGTAATTAATCCTAATTTAATTAATGCTAAAAATCACAAATAATATAAAGGAAGTGAAAAAGAATTCTGATTAAATTAATTTGTTGGGCACTGGGAAAGGGATTCTGCTAATGAATCAGAGACTTAATTATATTTTTAAAATTAGGCCACGTTAAAGAATAAAAAGTTATTCAATATGAAATGTGCTGTATATTTAAGAGATTATAATTATTAATCTACTGCTAAAATCCTTCAAGTTTCTCAATCGTTAACAAGAGCCAAAATCTTAGCAGTACTGCAATGCCAAGCTGACTTGAAATATAAATTAATTATTAAGTATGTAACAAGTAATTATTATAATAGTTATTTAAGGTACAAGTTATTTTTTCCAATAATTAATTAGAGCCAATCTCAGCGGTACTGCAATGCCGAGCCGACTCGCGACAGAGGTGGAGCAAGCCCCAACACTCCGTCAATTTACAAAAAACAGATTAATATTCTGACCGCCCTATGGGCAGCGTACCAGATATTAAGCTGATAAGAACAGATACTACACTTTGATCTTAGCCATAAGGCCGAGAAGCGATAACTTCCCATTTTCTTCCAACCCTTATAACATCTCAAGTTTTCAATTTCTGCAGCGAGAACAGATTTGCACTAAACAGCCACCTAGCGGTAATGTTGGCGACAGAACACAATTCCTAGCTCTAGCTGGCTCCAATGTTGCTTTGAACAGCTGCCTTTTGCTTTAACCCTTGGACGACAATATACAATTGTCAATCCTTGCGGGTATTTTCAGCTTTATTCATCAATTTTTCAAAATATATTTTCAAAATACATCTCGTGAACATATTAGCCTTCTTGTTATTCCTAGTGGAATAACAATTCACTTAATTTAATTGCTGAAAATTGAGTAATTATTTAATGATTTATATATACTGGATCGAAATTATCCGGTGAGAGCAATTCGAGGATTAAACGATTGCTTTCTGAAGTTTTATAAATTAATTACGTTTTGTGATGTTTCAGTTCTATAGTCTTCGTTTAACTTTCCCTCCAGATCATGCCATAATCAGTAGCTCATTTCCTATTCATTAAGGGTGGTATAAATATGCCACAATTAGGGGTTTTCAGCTACCTTTTTGGAAAAATTAAATTACTTGTGAACAAATAGTTCAAATCTAACACTATTGACCTCAAACAATTTGTAATGCTCCTGTGCATTGATCCTGATACAATAATATCTATTTATGTCTTTGTTTTTCTTTTAAATTTAACCCGTTTATGGGCCATTAAACACTATAACTCGATATACTCTAACTATTCCAGCTCTCTTTAAATTTAATTACAAAATATTACATGAATTCCTGTAATTTAAGTTTTAAAGAAATATTTTCAGGACATACAGATGTACAAGGAAATTTTCTACATTCATATGACACTATAAAACGTCGTTAATGACCTGAAAGTTGATGCGAAGTTGAAATAGTTGCTGCAGATATAAATGATTCTTGACATAACGAAAATGTGTATGTCGAAAATAGCACGGAAACCACTAATTTAACGGTATAACAAAACAATATTTTGAGAGTACAGGAATGTTCAGGAGACTCTCTTACATCGGTATCATGCATAAAAAGTTTATTTGTTATTGAAAATGTAGACAACGGATGATTCTTGCCACATTTGGTATAAGATACAATCCAAAGTCCGGTACGAATTATCTGTTCCTGAAAATGTAAAATCAGCGCTACTTCGCGTAGTGGCAAAACGCTCAAACTGTTAGCCAAAATTATCGACACGCACTTTTCAATGTCTATCACTAGATGGCAATGGCAGCAAATTACAAGAATTGACCATAAGCGACACCATGGTTATCTACCTGTAACTGACTATCGGCAATTTTAGCTAACAGTTTGAGCGTTTTTCCACTAGGTGTAATGGCGCTGTACGGTAGCTCTTACGTTGCGAATGATTCTTGCCGGATTTTGCGTTGAATCTTACGATAAATTCGGTAAGGATTATTTTTGTTTGAATAAAAAAATACAATTTCAATAAATTACTATTAAGATTTCTTAAGTTTTATGGGCTCTAATTGAAGCTGCTAGAATACACTTTACGATAGGTTGATTGTTATTGAAAAATTATTCCGATAATGTATTAAAAACTTAAGGATAGAATAGGTTTCTAAAATACATTTTGCTGTCCTTGCCTTTCAAGGTTTATCAACTGTTAAAGCTTCAAAATGAAGCTGAAGGAATATACGTGATGCTAGATTAAATGTCATTCAAGAACAAGTATTCCTAACTTAATCAGAAACACAACAATTTTTGTCGATGATGATAATAATATATATTATATTATTATTATTAATATATATAATAAATATACATAAATTTGAGTTTTCAAATATTATATCCACGAAACCTTAGGTCAACAATAAATATTTTCTACACTGTTCACTTGGCGTTACACTTTCTAAATTAACACTCGAACGGCAGACCTGTTTGACAATAAAGCAACCAATAATTTTTACAATTAATTATAATATTGTTTAAAACCTTAGTGAAACATGTGCAAATATAAATCAACGTCAGTAACTTCCAATAATTAAGATAGTCAACAATGTAATCTGGGAATGTTACAAACGGAACACATCTTTATCTTACAGTGTCTGGACCATTCGAGTCGTCGTCTATGAACATAAAGAGGATACAACATAATCTATCACGATGTAGGTATTTCTTTGCACGATGTTGTAATTTAAATTTAATAACGGTACGGTGAGAGGGTGAGAAAGCAGTTGGGCGTGATCGTTTCGCGTACAAGCGACGCATATAAGTAGATGCAAAGTAGATGTAGCAAGACAATGGCCATCTTCGGCCATTCTCTATCGGGGCTCTGCCCTAATCTGAACGATTCATATAGTTCGACATCGGCGATACTTAAAGGTAACTCCTTCCGTGACATTAAAAAGGCACTCCCAGGCCTCTTGTTGCGTCGGTCCCTTTGCCCGGCGTTTGTTTCACACGCCAACGTCGGATGTAGAAACAGTACCGGCGACGCCGTCTCTTTTGTGTACGCGTCTTTATGAACAGGAACCGAGATCTTCCTGCCACCTCTGACAATGGAGCCGCCAGAAATCGAGACGTTGTAATCGTCCTAACTTCTATAGACAGCGACCACGTCGAATATCGAGCCGCGAACCACATGGGGAGTTAGGCGATTCTTCATGGAGAAGAATTATAGACATGGAACAATGTTTCCAGGTGGCCGTTGATTACGTATGCACGCTACGTTTAATAAATAATTCAAATACGCTAGGCTGTATTATTGAATAAGTATATTTATTTATGCAGTTACTTATTCAAACAGTTTATTTATTCAAGCAGTTATCTATTTAAGCAGTTATTTATTCAAATAGTTATTTATTTACGCAGTTACTTATTTAATCAGTGATTTACATAGGCATTTATTTATTTAAACAGATATTTATTGAAGCATTTATTTATTTTAGCTCTTTTCTTGGATTTAGCTGACTTCTTGAATTTAGCTGATTTTTCAGATTTAGCTGATTTCTTGGATTT